ATATAGGATTTGGAAATCATAAGCAAGCAACGTAATAGCCCAGCGTTGTAACCGATTCGCTGTATAAGCAGGAATACCTGACTTTGATCCAAATATAGATAAAAGCGGCTTGTGGTCTGTTAAAAGCGTAAATCGACGACCATAAATCATTTTATGAAATTTCTTTACTGCAAAAACTAAAGCTAATCCTTCCTTCTCAATCTGACTATATTTTCGTTCGGCTGAGTTAAGAGTTCGGGATGCATGAGCAATTGGCTTTTCTTTACCATCAGGAAAACGATGACTGATAACGGCTCCAATTCCATAGTTTGAAGCATCGGCGGCTACAATTATTTCAAGCTTTGGATTATAATGAGTCAGCAACAGTTTAGAAGATAAAATCCTTTTTATTTCATCGAAAGAATCTTGGCATTCTTTTGTCCAGTGCCATGTTGTATTAGCCATCAAAAGTTGATTTAATGGTTGTCGCAATTTATACATCTGGGGTACGAACATACTATAATAACCAATCATCCCCAAGAATGAACGAAGGGTTGTAACCTCAGTCGGTCTGGGCATATTTTTGATAGCATTTATATTGTCTGGATCCGGTCGACGACCATCTTTATCAAATATATATCCCAGGTATTTAACAGACTCGAGCAGAAATTCACACTTTTCTTTTTGTAACTGAAACCCAGCTTGTGATATTTTAGTGAGCACCACATCTAACCGACGCATTAATTCCTGCGCGGAAGAGCCAACAACTATAATATCATCCAAATAAACTGCTACACCTTCGATGTTAGACACCATAGTATCCATTATCTGCTGGAAAATTGCTGGAGCTGGCTTAACACCAAACGGTAATCGGTTAAATCGATAAAGTCCACGGTGGGTATTAATGGTTAATAACTCCTTTGAATCTTCGTCAACTTCCACCTGTAAGTAAGCTTCAGACAAATCAAGTTTAGAAAAATAACGTCCACCGTTTAGTTTAATAAATAAATCCTCTGGCAAAGGTAATGGATATGAATGATTTTGTAAAACGTCATTTAATCCTGTTGAAAAGTCTGCACAAAGGCGAATAGCTCCGCTCGCTTTCTGAACTACTACAATTGGTGCTGCCCATGCCGAATAATTAACAGGTTGTATAACACCGAGTTTCTCTAGTCGGTCTAATTCTTTGTCGACTTTGTCAATAGCTGCATATGGAACTTGACGCTTTGGACGGAAAACAGGTTTTACATCCTGTCGTAGGTATAATTTTGCCTTCTCAATTGTGCAGCATCCCAATTTATTCTGGAACAAGTTTTTATGTTTCTGCAAAAGATCTTCTATCGTTACGACTTTCTTGGTTACATGAACTGCGGGTGGATCTCTAGGATTATTTGCGCCTTTCATTGTGCATATTTCATTTAATGGTACATCCCATAAATTTAGTTTATCTATCCAGTCTATACCAATAAGGTCTAACTCATGTCTGTTCGTTAAGTAGCAATTTCCTGTAAAGTAATTACCTCGGAATTTAACAGAGCATTTTATCATTCCCACAAGTTTCAATATATCTCCGGACGCATTCCGTGCAGTGTGCTCTGTTGGTAATACTTTCGGACACCCAATTAAATACCACGTTCGTTTCGAGATTAGTGTGATATCTGACGCTGTGTCCAATTGCAATCGAATATAAACACCATTAACAATTAATTCCACATATCTTCTTTTATTCGCTACGCTTAGAGCCAGTGTAGAATATACGCTGTTTATATACTTATTTTCGTACTGGTGCGGACGTCTGGTTCGTTTTGATCTTAAACTTTCTCTAGTTCGGCAGACTAATTCTTTGTGGCCAACTTTATTGCATATAGTGCATCTATGATTTCTAAACCGGCAAAATCTTGAGAAATGCCACGCACCACAATACCAACATTTAGTTGCAGGTTTAGGAGTTTTCGAGTGATATTTATGACTTTTGGTACTGTTTTGTCTTTGACCTGTCTTAACAGCATGAACAGAATTTGAGGGCACAACACTTTTGGTTTCCAGCATAGCTGTATCTTGTTTTAGGTTTATTAATCGTTGACATTCAGTGGTGATAGTTTGTAACGTCATTTCATCATCATGTTCCATACGGGATAACAACTTCATGCGAAAGTCAGCATCAACAGGAGAGTTCAGACCAGAAATAAATAATAAGCATTTAAATTGATCACTGGTTAATACATTTAATTTAAATCGTTCTGCTTGTAAATTTACTCTTCCGGCGTACGTAGTATAATCTTCATCAGCCCTTTAGTCAGCTGTAGACAGTTATACCGGATACGGAATAAAGACGACTGTTCACAAAACATTTTATTTAGGATGTTAACAGTTTCATCGAAATTAACTTCTCGTGGATGTTTAGGCAGAATATGGTTTTTATACTTTTGATGCTCATTAGGACCAAGTTTCTGTAATAGCAGCCGACTTTCTTTGCATCATCTATAGCAGCAAATTCAACTCGGAAAATATCTTCAATTCTGCCAAACCATGCTTCAAAAGTGTGACCATTGTCTGCATCAAATATAAATTCTGAAACTGGATTAAGGTATGACTCGATACTTTTATGTTCTGGAATCTCTTGTTGGATAGATAGTTTCCCCAAAAGTGTTTCCAAGAGTCTCTGTTGAGAAGCTAACATCTGCTGCTGCTGTTGTTGATATTGTTGTTGCTGTTGTTGTAATAATAACTGCAACTGTTCTAAGGAAATCGACATTTTTTTTTGCCAATAATATTAGCTCCAAAAATCACCGGCAATTATAACAGCTAATTTATTTCCAAAATCTGAGTCACCACTTGTTGTATTGTTATTATTTTTTTTGTTGCCAAAATCCCCGTCGCCAATTGTTATGACCTTGGATGTCTGACTTTTCTATCACACGACTTATCTACCAATCCGAATACGACTTATACGAATCTTCACACTAGGCCAACCAATGACGTTCAACCGGTGTGGGCAGTTTAGCGTCCTTATTGGTCCTATGTCCTACGAGCCCTTCCACTTGAGTACAGAACACAATACCAGCTTCCGAATCAGAGCAGATCATTTATTTCAGACATACTTGGTTTATATATCAATCAGACAAACCGCAACGTACCATAAAATAGGAAATAATATTTGTACACAAATAAGCCAAAAAGTGGCTGTGAATGTGGGAGGCAGTAGTTAATAAACTGAACATAACTTAAGAACCGTAAACCGTACAATAATGAATTAAAGGTCAAAATAAAGCTTGTAATAAGAGGAATATAAATATACATAATGTAATTGTTGAGTAGTTATACAATAAGAATATTTATAGAATATTAGTCCATTAATAGTCCTTGGAAGTTACCTGTAATTTAATCTTCACTAGGATATAACAGTAGTAAGAAGCATTATAGATTCAAAATTGGTTCAAAAATATAACTATTAATATTTTTCATTACATTCAGCCTGCCACATGACACGATATTTTCATCTTTGATATAGAATTATCAAGTATTTCCGATACCTTGGCCAAATGACTTTACTTAATCAAATACGACTTAAAACCTGATATAAATGTATATGTATATTGGACTTCTCATAAAGATCAGAAATTAACGGTATGTAAAAGCTAATGAGTCTAATTGATAATATTACTAGTAACGCAAGCGAAAAATGTGAATTTTTGGAAATTTACGAACGAAATCAAGGAAAGAAGAATTTTCATCTGCGTTATTACAACTGAATAATGATCATCTCATATTACCGGTTGTAGTCATCGAATGAAATCTAACTAAGATGTTTTGACTCCATGAAACGGGTCAGATCAATAAAAAATAACTTTGAGTACTAATATTATACATAGATTCAAGTGCCTTTAGCTTCTTCTTATTCTACTTCTATGCTTACTAGTATGTTGTTTGAGTTAATAAACTCCTTGATTGATGAAAGTATTCAACTTCATTAAACAACTTGAGATTTCTACATAAAACCCTAATTTAGCTTCAGAATAATTCATTTGGTGTTTCCATTATACTGAAGTAACATTTTGAAGACAAAGATGATCAAGTACATACTTTCTACCTTCACAGATCATACTTTACCGTCGTAAATTAATCCTAAAATAAATGATTGATCAGAACATATAAAAATATCTCACTTTCTTAAATAAAATTATTTTTGTTGTATTCTCTTATTCTTACATAAATAAATTTATTAATATATGACTACCTATTTTAAATCATCATTACCCTTTGATTAACTCTTTACTACTAATTGCATAACAATCTGTTGTAACTTTCAAATTGATATAGGCCGATTATTTTTTTATTTATGATATTTTTCTTCATTAATAATCATTTTGTGTGAATAATTTTCAAACCGTTTAAAAATCTCCATCATGTGTGAACGGAGAATATATTCTCTATATAGCAGTAGGTATTAAGATTCTTAAACAAATGAAGTTTTGTGTACAAAAGAAACTTGACTAGCCAATTCTTTCACGTTGACCAACCTTAAAAGCCAGCAAGTTGACAGTTATATTAATTTTATAAGATGACCTTATTTAACTAATGTGTGCCTAACCTTATCTTTCGAATTTTTTAACTTAATATATTATTGATTGAAATCATGAATAGATCAATGTTAGACCACTATTGAAAACCTGAAAGCACTGAATGGACATCTCAGCCTAGTATGGGACTCCTCGGTAGTGTGAAACCACAATCTCTTACGCGGGATCCGAGCCCAGGACCTTAGGTTTCATGTATGAACCCTTAATCTCTATACCACTGAGCTACACCTAATTGGTGTCAACTTCACCAATCCGCGAAATAGCTGTCCAGTGTTTCCAGATTTTCAATGGTGGTCTAACATTGATCGATCCATGATCTCAATCAAAAACTCAACAATCTTCACAACCCCATACTGATAGTTAAGATATTATCATTATTACTACAATCATTAACATATCTTTGTATTACTGTTATTATCACTAATCATCATCTAAATACATGACGAATTTAATTGGCACTCAGCCCATTGTATTGTTATTACTGATCAAATTCATACATTGTATAATCTTCGATCAAACATTAAGTCTGATTTGTAATTACACAAGTAGTTCACTTACATCATGTTATTTAATAATTATACTGATCATTAATTTCACAATCTTATTTTAAGTATACACTTATTCAAGCTAACACTTTACTAGTCACTTCAACATTAACAATTTTGATTTGATTTTACAAACAGCCCTCAATTCATAAACTTTAATTTTGAATCTTGTTAGTAAAGACGCCGACCAGGAGTAAGTAAGTAAGTAATTTTGAACAATGTGTTTACTCTAAACTTGATCATTCTATTTGATTATTAATCTGCATTCGTAACTGTAATATCGAACATAAGGAAAACTGATTAAAAAGAGTGATATATATATATATATATATATATATATATATATATATATATATATATATATATATATATATATATATATACTTTAACTTTTATTTAATTGATGAAATAGAAACAAAACGTTCGATGTATGTAGACCGCTACACCAATTCTCTATACGATAACATACTTATGCAATTCTAAAGACTGGTATCTGAAGTTTGTACTGATGATTTCGTTCAGAACGATGAAAGCTCCACGACCGAATCATCCAGCTCAGAGAACAAAACTCCATCAAAATTATCCACCTTAGCTGCAAATTTTCTCCACCATCTCAATTCTAAAAACACTTATTTTTCACACTATATAATGAGCATATGAACACCTAGATAACTTTTATGATTATTACAATTACCTATTCTTGTCCGTGAATGTTGATCATTATAAACTTTAACATCTGGAATTATGAAATTCCATGTCATAGTTAATATATTAAGCAATTTATGCAAACATTTCACTAACAATATACATTTGCTTGTTTTTTTTTAATTTTTATTTTTGCATGCAAAAAATCCTGAACTCCGAATGCGATAGTCTTTTTAACTCATTTTATTTTGAAGAAATCCATCTCATATATATTGAATATTTGAAATTATCGACTTCATTGATAACGTTAATAATAAAGTGAATCTATTTATCACATATAGACGGTATATGAACGAATAAATATTGTGAGTGTAATATACGTAAAATACATGGAGTTAGATACACACACACACACACACGCTATTTATCTCCATATTATAGAAATTTGTCCCAATTACAAATGATGTGCTTTGTCATAATAATAAATGCGTGGGTGTGAGTGAATTAACTAATTTTCTAAACTAGAATTTGAGTTTTTATCATGGTCTTAATAAATGTTATTTACCTATAAAAATGGTTGGTTAATATTATGTAAATTATAAAGCCTATCAATTTAATGAGATCATCATTATTGTCTAGAGTTTTATTCATCTATCTAATTACATGTGAATCAGTTGTCTTGACCTTCGACCATATGTATATATATATATAGAGAGAGAGATAGATAGATAGATAGATTTAAATAATTTTATAATGCAATGTAATTGACTTATGCAATAATTAACTGTCATATTTTCATACAAAGTGCTGTTCAAACGATCATCTACTTTACTACGAATTAAGTTTGTGAAAGAAAAAAATAGAATCAATTTTCAACTACAGAATAGAAGGTGAAAAGTGGAACGATATACATTATGAGGAATATCTTCGTCAAAATATTTCAATTATTTACAATTATGGAAATTTTCATTTATTTAAATATGTATCAAACAGTAGTACACAGTAAGTCATACTTTGTTCACATTTATATTATACATTTTTATAATATTTGGTATAGTAAAGATGACATGTGCCTCAGATTGACCTATTTTGATCAATTAGTAAATAGCTAGGATAAATGAATGAGTTATTAGTTCAGGATTGGGACTTCGGATATAACTGATGCCAGTCGGTGATAAAAACCCATATTCTAATTCCTAACCCTATTTTGATTAATGTACTGTGATCTTGAAGCGATTCATACGTTCACCATCTACTCGACTGTATATTTCGGCTTCACAAAACTCATGAACACCTTTAAGGTATATATTTTGGCTTTAAAGCAAGTCACACTGGTAATGCATTTTCTGATAATTTACTCTACTCATGCCTGCTTCGGTTCGGGCACCCGGGTAATATCCCAGCCCGCACACAAATCGAGTGATTCGTGTGGCGCATATCTATTTGGTGCCTCCTTGTACCAATGTTTATGTGTTTCGGTAAATAAATAAATAAGTAATATTCTACTTATAAGTTAAGCAATTAGATAGCTAGGGATAGACAGTTACAAGCAGAAATAAGTGGGACACCAAGAAATGACAGTAGTAAAAGCTTCAAGAGAAGAACATTCCAGACAAATATATGATACAACGAAGAAACTGGTAGGGAAATATGGTAAACCAGAGAGATCAGTCAGAAACAAAGAAGACCAATTAATCGTTGAGATTCAAGAACAGAGGAACAAGAGGGTAGAGCACTTTGAAGAACTCTTGAATAGACCAGTCCCAGTGAACCCACTAGATATCGAAACAACACACACAAACCTCCCAATACATCACTCCATAAACAGTCGAAGCAGACAGGATGGCCATCAGACAAATCAACAGTGGGAAAGTAGTAGGACCAAACAACGCACCAACTCAAGTACTAAAGCCAGACATAGAAGTAGTTGTGAAGATGCTCTATTCAGGAAGATTTGAGAGGAGGGCCAAGTCCCGACATGACGGAAATAAACATACTCCACCAAAATACCTAATAAAGGAGATCTGAGCAAATGCGAGAACTGTAGAGACATCACACTACTATCGGTATTAGGAAGAGTTCTCAACAGAGTGTTGTTAAACCGTACGGAAGATTCAGTAGACACCAAAGTTCAATATCAACAGGCTGGATTCCGTAAGGATCGGTCGTGCACAGACCAAATCGTGACACTACGGATCATCACTGAACAGTTATTTGAGTTAAACTCGTCCTGGACTATGAAAAAGCTTTTGACTATGTGGATAGGAGAACATTATGGGACCTTCTTCGACACTACGGTGTGAGTAGGTGAGAAGATTGTCAACATCATACAAAATTCACACGACGGACTACGCTGCAAAGTTATGAGTAGAAGGCAGCTGACAGACGCTTTTCGAGTCAAGACAGTTGTCAGACAAAGTTACTTTCTCTCTCCTTCCCTTTCTTGTGGTAATTGGCTCGATTATGAAGGCCTCCACATATCAGGGAAGCATGAAATACAATGGATAGCTTGGATTCAACTGGACGATATTAACTGTGCAGATGAGCTAGCTCTTCTATCCCATACACATCAGCAAATGCAGGGAAATACAATCAGTAGGCCTCATCATACACAAGGGAAAAAGCAAGATCCTCAAATACAACATAGAGAACACCAGCACAATCACACTTGATGGAGAAGTTCTGGAAAAAGTTGAACCTTTCATATACTTGAGCAGCGTCATCGACGAATCAGTGGACCTGATGCAGACGTAAAGGCGAGGGTCGGCAAAGCAAGGACAGCATTCCTATAGTCACAGAATATATGGAACTCAGAACAACTGTCTGCAAGACAATATCAAAGTCAAAATCTTCAATACGAACGTCAAGACGGTTCTACTGTATGGAGCTGTAACTTGGAGAACTACAACAACAATTGTTTACGCAAGATACTCGTTGTCCGTTGGTCGAGCAACAGCCTACTGTGGGAGAGAATAAACCAGCTTCCGACTGAAGAGGAAGTTGGAAAAAGGCGCTGGAGGCTGATAGGAGATATACTGTTCAAACCATTACACGGCATCACGAGGCCAGTTCCAACTTGATATCTTGAAGGGAAACGAAAAAGAGGAAGACAAAGAACACACTGCGTTGCGAATCGGAAGCAGACATGAAAAGGATGAATAGCAACTAGAAAGAACTGGAAAGGATTGTTCAAGAGAGGGTTGGACGGATAATGCTGGTTGTCGGCCTGTGCTACTTCACGAGGAATAGCAGGAATAAGTAAGTTATGTCTCAAAAGGTAAAACAATTCGAGCTATCAGTCTTAATCTTTGTGTTTAAAAAAACGGCTGCAATATCTTTGTCCTTAAATTGACTAAAGAAAAGCTGATAGACGATATTATCAATTCTTTCTACTCATTGTTGCTTTGCTGTACGCGTAATTGAAGTGAATTCTCACATATTTCCCAATTCTTGGTTTCTAATGATTATTATATTCCATACTTTAAAACGTTTCACTTATGACTCAACTTTCATGTATTTCGATATCGACCACCATATGTAAAATTACCTAAAAAGTACAATTATACAACTTAGATAAATGACACTGTTGAAAAAGAAAATTTTCGTAGCTAAAATGTTCTAATTCTGTTTAATGACTCAATGGGTTTATTTATTCAAGTTTTGACCTATATTCTATATCAACCTATCTGTTTATTATTTCTTTACTACTATAACTGTTAACTTACTATCAAGCTGTACATTTTCTTCATTTACTTATGTAATCTTTATTCATTGTTGTCCATGACCCACAAATACATTGATTACTCGGATGTTCTTCATATATATGTACAAATATAACTACTGTCTATCAGAGTGAATCCTGATGATTATCTATTTGAAAACGATATGTCTTCAAAAAAATTCAGTTTTATTCAATTACTCGCTAAAATTGTTGTATTTCAATAAGATGTTTTCATTTTAATCTATTGTTTATATTTATATAATTTTTAATATTAAATTATCATTGACTCAGTATTTATGCGAAGATCAATTGTGGTTAAGTAATAATTAATCACAAAAACAAATTGATACCATTACTTCAGTCCGTAAGCCCACACAATCCAATATAAATATATAAAGACATTTAAATAAAACATTCTTAGATTGTGTTCACTGTGATGTTGAAGCTGTCATACCCTTATACTGTCTTCATAAAATCCTTCACTACCAAAGACTGTATGTTATGTACATGCTTGGATATATTTTAACATAACAATAGTAATTTACATTTTATAGATACCCTTATAAGAATATCTTTGATAGTAATATTTAATATTCGTTATTGTGTAGATAAACTATTGAAGGATTTCCAAAATTCTTTGTACTGGATTCGTTATTCAGAGACAGAAATATCAAAACAGTATCCAACTTTTTGCTAAACTGGATCAATTTGAGGTGTTACATTTTGCTGCGGTTCAAAAAGGTAGCATCAATATGACTGAAAAGAAATATGATGAATGGAGTAGATATTAATCAGGAAACTGATACAACAGACGTGATTCAAGAAAACATGATATAATCATTTCATCCTTCCCATTATAGTTGGTTTGAAGGTGGTATTGATTAGGTTGATCAATTGGTTTTTTAAATCTTGACGACCTCAGTTAAATAGCACAGACTACGGTGTACGCGTGTGAATGTTTCGATAATCAATCAATGGTTGATCAACCTCATATGTTTTTCAACTCAGTTAATTTAACTTACAGGTGCCCATGTGCAGATTATTTAACTGGAATTTAGGTTTAAATAGGGTTTATAGTTGAACAATATGCATCCATGTGCAACTACTTGATGTTATATTTGTTTAGCTTATTTACTAAAAAAACACTGCTTAACTAAATGACTAGGAATTTAAATTCGCTGCAGGTTCCAATCTAATTTCTCTTTTATACGTACTCTAAAGTGAAATTTTTGAGAACGGAATTTCACCCCTTAATTATTGAAATAAAATGTTTGTATCGTGTTCATTTCTGTTTAAATGAAAAATTGTGTATAATATTACTCATGGCCTTGACAAATTTGCCTACCTTTTCTAGCTAAGCCGATAGAAACATATGCAAAAGATGATGTGAACTTTTCAAAACCATGTCCTGAAGAAAACTACAGATATCATAATGGTGTGTTATTATTTTAATTTCTTTTCCATATTTATATAAATACATTTAAAACATTTTCACGCTCATGTACTCAAACAATAAATGAAGCTGAACAAAATCGTGGATCGTGATAATCAGTGTTGATTGAATGGCTCAAATGTTCCACTATCGAACGTGCTTCGACCTTGGTTTAAGCTAAATTCTGATTAAGGATCTTAATATAATCTTAAACGCTGGAAGTGATTCACCACCAGAGAATCGCATGATCATTCTATTCATTTTCAAAATGGTCTATGAAATGGTTAATCACTGGGGCATTAATCTGCCATAAAATGCTTCATCACTAGTGACTCTTGTCTGCATCACGTGTCTTTTGAGAAGCTTAAAAGGATAACTCTAGAAAGCAATTTAAGCGATATGCTTTATCAGTGAACACCTAGACACCGACTTTCTAACCGCTTCCAAGTCCACGGGATTCTTTAGCTATCGAATCCAGAAATAGGAATCAAAAAGGCGGGAAGCATGAAAACACTCCTCAAGAGCTTATTCGGCATACAGAGAACTAGAGTATTTATTGTTTACCTATAACCTTGGGGTTTTAGAAATTTTCGGAAACATGATAAAATTAGTGAAAAGATCAGTGAATATCTAATCAGGATGTGATATATGATCTGTCTTTTCCCAAAATGTTCTTGGAGGGTTCTAAACAAAACTGATTGTAATTTAATAATTGAAATCATGAATCAATTTAAGCTAGATCACCATGGAAAACCTGGAGGCACTGAACAGCCATTTCTTCCTAGTACATGACTCTTCAGCAGTATGCATCCACGATACCGCCCGTGGGATTCTAACCCAGAACTTTCGGTCTGATTGTATTAAGTACATTCACCGAGGACTTCTGACACTAAGCTTCGCGATAACCGTGAACACACTATTCAGATTTTGATGTTCTGTAAAATGATTAAATCTCGCTACAAGTTTTACAGTTGGTTATCAATATATTACTTAACAGAGATGTTACCTACTACTGAAGCGTTTTATGATGATAAAGCCCATCCAGGTTGTCTTTACAAACATCATACTAGATGGCTAAAAATTTTATCCCAGATTGGGGAATATTCAGTAGTTTTTTTAAAAGGATGAAATGGATAGCTTCAGTGACTTGATTTCTTTCCGGATCTCTAGTCTATTACGTGAGTTGGTAGTCACCAGGAGAAAGTATAAGACAATTTAGTTGAAGTTTGTTTAGCTGTTAACTATCTTATTTGTCTTACTAAATACTCTACTAAGAACTTTTTGAAGATCATGCATAGGGGTGTGACCAGATTAAAGGATTGTTTCATTAACACCAAGATACTTCCCGTTTGTGGTTTAAATGAGTACGATTATCTCTTGATAGTCACTAGATGAGATACCTGCTTTCGATCCAGGAGTGTGCTCTGGCCACCACATTTGATGGTCATTAAATCATAGTTTGTTACTAGAAAACAAGCACGTATATCTCTCAAATATGTCACTAATAACCACCGTTTTAATATGATAACTCTGAGAAACGGTTTCACCGTTTTAACATACCTTGTGAGTGTACATCTATGACTCTCTGGGAGAGTCAAATCATTTTCTTCAGTTAATCTCAGTAAGTTGTTCAGTCACTTTTCTAATGAAATTCAAAAATAAACAAATATCTATATGCACTTATTTACATCGTGCTTTTATTTACTTTTTAGCTACTGGATATTTTATGTGCACTGTTGAAACAGCCAAAAAATGCATTGACTTATGTCAACAAACAGGATGCAATGATTTATATTTTATGAGTGTGATCCCTTCGAAAAATGATAAAATCAAACGAAACTATCGTTGTCGCTGTTTCCAGGATTATCACGTCTGCTTTTATAATCCATTGCCAAGATATCATAACATTAATTAGTTGATAATAATACTACTACTACTAATAATAATAATAGTATCGGTAATCGCTACCATTAGTATTATTACTGTTATAAAAAAAAGTGTTTTCCTCCCTAAATCGGTTTGTATTAGTCGATAATTCTAGGAAACTTAATGTAGTGTGTATGTGTAAAAACTGCTTTCAGACTAAATTTAGATATTATTTTATTGGGATTCAACGTATATAAAGGAAACAAAGATCTGTACATTTGAATGGTTGCATCACATCATGCTCTATATATTTGACTGCGTGTGCACTTTTTGTGTAGCGCTATTGTTTGTTTTAGAAAAACAATTTGTATGTTTAACTATCTTTTCTCCCCCATTTTAACTGACAAACCCTACTGGGAGATAATTATCTGTTTATAATAATAATAATTATTATTATTATTATATATATATATATAACGGTGTATAAAACCAAGTAAGCCACTTACATAATCGACACTCAGATTAATTTTTTCTAAAAATAGATTACACAACAGCATATGTATGCTGCTAGTAAAGAAGAATAATATATGTATGTACTCCCAATGTTGTAAGAGTTTGAAATTTATAAATGCATATTTTTGTTTGTAAAGAATCATTATTTTGTTTGTTAATGCCAGCGTCATGTTGCACACTATTTGCAAATTAAGAAAATGTTTCGGCCCTAAGTATAAACTTAAATCAGGACAAATGATAAAATGGTGTTATATGCGATTTTATTGTGAAGTTTCCCCTCATTTCTCACTCTTCCCCTTTCTCATTGTAACTGTTTTTAAAGTGTTGAAAGCATACCATTCAACATAGCTGGGCGAATTGAAACGATGAGTGACAACCGTATAATCTTTTCATATAATCGATTGAGATAAAAATAAAAATTCATTCAACCGTTTTCTTCATTTACTTCATCCCCGTATACTTATAATTTTTATTAGTATATAACTGCTGTAGTTATGACGGATATTGCTTTTTTTTTAATATGTCCACAATATTATTCAGAAACGTTTATTTGATGTGTATATCTATACCACATTGTATTGTATTAAGGTAATAAATAGCATCTCAAACTACTAGTTTTTGGATGTTTTGGGAATTTAAGGATGGAAACTAACGGTTCTCTATGGGATGTAGACCAACCAATAAGTAATATATAGCTTCGTGAATAGCTTTCTATTCTCGCAAAATACGCAATAACATTACGTGAGCATCCAGAAAGAAACCCTGTTAATAAATAGGTTTCATAAAATGGGTCAATTGACCTGCATTACGGACAACTGAACCCTTTGTTTAAACCCACCTTAGCTTATTCACTAAGTTGCACTTGGAAGATCGACCTATTTGTGTATCTGCATCTAACTGGGAGTCAGTAGTTCCATAGAGGTTTGTACACAGAATGTTGGTTTGATGATTTCCGACAAAAAGTCGTTATACGTCATAGTCTCACAATACGTGTGTATATTAGTGGCGAAAATTCATTTCGGATGAACAAACGAGAAAATGTACAGCCACGTTGTTGAGTTTCGTTCGTCAAAGTTAGAAAAAGATCTTGTCAATACGTCACTAGACATGCGTAAAGAGAAACCTTGTTAATCTACGTTATGATTCATTCCGTTGTTTCCGAGATATTTATTTAAAATATCAATGATTATAAACGATTGTAAAGTGGAAATCGATTTCAAAGTAACTTACATATAGAGATTATTTAGTTGGCACAGTCAAGAAGTTTGGTTTTGTATTAGCTTCCCACTCATCTACAAGATGTATTTGTTCTTTTGAAAATGTAATGGAAATATTATGTAATTATATTCTGTGGGTGAAGTTATGCTCCTTACAAATTTTAGTTAATCTTTCACTTCACTGATATCCAGCCGCTTCGAAAAATGTCTTATGAAGTAGGTTTCGACTGAACTGTTATAACAAGTTTAAAATAATGTATGGGATTTTATGTAATTTTGTGGTTTAAAGAATTTTTGCTGTTTGTGGGTTTGTATTGAATTTCTTTAGTCTAGGTATATGCTGTCGGCCACTGCATCGTTTATTATATGCGTAATCAGAAGTCTATGACAACTCACATTCCCCATCCATACTTACATGGTTTTCTTCTCTATACTGGTAACGATGTGTATTATGGTTTGTTAATTAATAAGCTTTTTAATTAAAAAAGCTTTTGCCAACCTGCGTCATTTATGACGTAGGCGAGACATCCGTCTACCAACCAAAGAACGTGTTTACCGCGCAGCAGTTCGTTCCGTCCTAATTTATGGCAGTGAAACATGGCCGGTAAGAGTAGAAGATATTCGTAGGTTACTAGTATTTGACCATAGGTGTCTTCGAAATATTGCTTGTATATCCTGGGACCGTTGAGTAAGCAACGCAGTTGTTAAGAAACAAGTATTAGGTAAGGATGGCAAATCAATTGATGACGTAGTGAAACTTCACCAGTTGAGATGGCTGGGACATGTGTTACGTATGCCCAACAACCGACTGCCTCGACGTGCGATGTTTTATGGTGTGGGAGTAGATTGGAAGAAAACCAGGGGCGGCCAGACCAAAACATGGCACAAGTCCATGAAGTCACTAACAAGTGGGCTGAGACATGTTGGTAGGTGTAGACTACCTGGTTGGGATCTGCAAGACGATAGCAACCGATGGTTAGAGACGTTGAATGACATGGTTCAAAATCGTTTGCCATGGCACAGGTGCATCCACCTTTTATGTTATCCCAAATTCTAATCTTCTGAATTCTTCATGTCCTTTTTTTCCCTCTTTCGAAATTTATTTCACTATATTATACTTCTTGAATAACATCTTCAAACCCTAATCTTTCCGATTACTGCTTATACTCTTACCACCTCTACCATTACGAGATTTGAGTCGAAAACTGCATCTCTGTGCTAATGTGGTGTGGCAACTCGAACTGATGTACGTACGTATGATAATCTACGTTGTTACTGACTGACTCTACAACTGCTCACCATTCCCAGACAGTGTGAATGGAACAGTGAAGCAGGCCCCTCAACTCTAATCAAAGTTCAAAAAGCTATGGCTAGTCTGAAACGAGGGAGAGCAACTGGTCTACATGGATTGGTTACAGAGGTCCTTAAGGACGATGATTCAGATATGGCGATTAGGTTGACTAATATTTTAGCTAAATCATATTCAGAAATTTAGTTATTGTCCACGTTATGTAGCTCGCTTAATCAGGTTCCGTCCTGTTTATCGAAAAGAACTTCTAGGTTGGCGTTTTGAAACGGATCATATGTTTCAACGGCCCAATCCTCTACCAAATGAAGTATGTATTCATTTATTGTTGATGGAAATTTATTGAGTTAATTTTTCGTAATTAACATTGTTCACTTCTATCATACTGTCTGGCTCCATGTGCTGGCGTTATTTTATTGTTGGGTTTTTGTGGTAGCGTTGCCGAACTCAATGTTTCAACATTACAGTAAATTGTATCGTATATCGTATAGTTGAGTTCAACTAGTAGAAAGCCTATGGTTTACATTCAGTGCTACTTAATACTCGTTATCTGGAAACTTAATTGAAATTTTACCTTATCGTTTATAACACGAAGTTATGTTGTACAATAGTGCGCTGTTATTGCAAAGTAGGAATGTGATTCAAATAGTAGTTGAGTCAAAAAAACACAAAGTTAGGTGTTTATACAAAACGGGGAATACAATTTGAAGTACTTTAGTTCATCTAAAACGCAAAGGTCCACCATATCAGTGTTGAAAACATTGAACTAACTTTAATGTTTTTTCCAACTAAAACTAAAGATGGGTAACTGAGGCATTTCTATTTTGAATCCCAGTGTCGCTTGTCAGTTTGAACCTTGGCGTTTCATTTGTTTCTCAATACTAAATAAGAGTTACAGCGAGAATCCTCTAGGGAAACTTTTCATTTGTGTCAGGCTCTTTTTTTGCCTGAAGAAAGGTTTCTGTAACTTGCACAGACGGGAACGTTTGCCGAAACGTTCAGAACGTTGTACAGGATAACCCTCTAAATAATATCCCTCACTAAGTCTCGGTGATCATACACTCTTAGCTACCAGCACGCTTGTGGCCATGTAGCTTGATGGAGATGGTTCAAAATGGACATGCTTTCACCCTCAGTGAAGTGAAGGCAGGGAGTATTCTCGTTCCTCCGTAGCACATTCTAAGTAACCATGTTAAACATGTCTATGCCACGATCACTATTCCGTACTTGCGTTTGAGCATGGATATCCTCGGGGGAGAAACTGATCGTCTGCTCGAAAACAATGACAAATATGACTTCATGGCGTCACCCACATGTCCACTCTATCCTGAATCTTGAATGATTGTGAGAAATCGACTATGATATTACCCTGTGGAGGTTTTGTCCTGGTTTGTGAGATATAAAACGGAGTGTTTTGGTCCCGGGCTAGGAGTACATAGTCGAACCGGTGGTGTAATTTTTGTAGTGGCCCCTGGATTATATTATCTCTCTGGGTGTTGGAAGCTGTGGAATGTCGGTATGTTCCTACGAATGGGCACTTTGTGCCGTTAGTGTTGGAGTAACACCACCATGTTTCTGCCGCCATCGTTCTGTGTGGTATCAATACATTGTAGTGTGTGTCTATGTTGTAGCTCCTTCCACTGTTTTGTGTACCCTGTCTAACCAGTAAGGTGTGTTACCTTGAATACACATATCGTTGCCTGAGACTTCAGTGTAGAGATGTTTTTCAGTCAGAACTACCATCAGCAGTTCGAAACAAATACATGCGTTAGTGACATCTAATCTGCATCTTAGTCACCTTACTTTACAATAGAAGGACGTGATGGTTTCTCGCAACGCCTGACGTACCTCTAGAGCAGCATCTGTCTTCTGGGTCAGGAAAAGACTGAGATTTGAAGTGGGTTGACTTGCCGTAGGAATTGGTCGCTGCGAGCACTTTGGCTGCATGGCGTGCCCCACTGGCGAGACTATAGCCTCAGTGTCCTGTTTTGTGGATTACAGATCGCGCTCGAATGACACAGTTGTGTACTCTATTTAACTTTTATGGT